CGCAAAAGCTGTCAACACAAGCACAACAGTATACATGTTGTTGATGTTAACAGTGAAACGTGCAGAGTTGCTTACCGCGGTCATGAAGTATGACTTGATTGAGCGAAGTGAGCCTTCGTCTGTGAAAACCTGGACAAGCCAGTCGCCGTTTAAAATAGGAGGCTTGTCAATTTCCCATTGACAAGGTGCTTGGAGTAACCAAAGAGGAAAAAGCTCAAAAGTACCATAATACCTTAAATTGACAAGCATCGGCTCACTTGACCACAGTAAGTAACTCTGCTCATTTCATTGTCAACATTCATTGTCGCTCGCCTCCATTGTGACTCTATTGTGTTGTGGCTTCGCATTCCTGTCAAGTCTCGGCCCCCGTATGCTTTGATTCTAAATGGCAATGCACGGCTCAACAGTTCTCTGCTGAGGTCAAAATAAGTAGATGTTTCAACTGTTGGCACGACAACACTTGGCTGACTTCTTTTATGGCAACTTCCCTTTTTCACATTGATATATTTAAAACACATTGACACAAGTCTACTACAGAGCCAAAGTCTTGTTGGCCGATGATCAGCTCTACAGGAAGCAGTTAGAGCTTTGATGCACCTAGCCCGCTGACATGGAGGAAAACGTTCACTTTCACTCACTCCCCCCTCCTCAGATGTACCCTCCAGCTGTGTGTGTGGGGGGCATGGGAAAGGGAAGAGGGTTCAAGAGGGATTCAGGTGTCAGCTGGAGGGATTTGGCCCACTGGGATGAGTTAGGAAGAGGAGTCCGACACCGAACAAGCCAATTTGTGAATGCAGGCGACAGGTGCCTGGCTACAGTGAAGAAGTCGCTAGTTAACCAAACCGCATGAGATAGTGCAGCTCCCATGAAGCAACTCTAGTATAAAGCAGTCCCTGCAGGGGTTTGTGAATTTCTTCACCTTTTTTGCTGTGTTTTTTTGTATACGTGCTGCCCTCTTCAGCTTGTGTGACCATACCAGCTTTTCACGACGGATCGTAAAAAAAAAATCTCTTTCATGTTTGTGGGAAAGTTGAGATTGGCTGAGACCAGGCTTTAGTGGAGATCTGAGAGGCAGATATCAAGTCAACAGTGGGTGTTTTTTCTTTTTTTTTAATGCTCTGGCTCCAGCCGAGACCCCTGAGCCTTGGCTGTTGACTTTCAGCAGGTCTCTCTCAGGTCTCAGAGATTCTTTGTCCGACTGCATGGGGGAACAGATTTCACCAACTGAACTGAACTGATCATCAGGCTGCTATGGCTTCGACTGACTAAACTGAATGCAAGGCTAACATTTAGGTTCATGAACGCTGCTGTGTTGGCATGGTAGACTCAAATTACCCAGAGTGCCTTTGCGCTGGCAACGGACACCTCTGGGACGTCTATCTGCAACAGATCCTTGCCTCTATTTTGAAGGGTTAAGACAATAAGACACTTATATTGTCCCTTCCCAGGCGGAGGCATACTCATCCCGTTTACTGGAAAGAATTTAACAGGCGACAGCTGGGGCCCTATGGGGCATGATCCCATCCTAAATCATTAGTAATGATAGCCTTATTTTATACAGGCTGCTCGCTCCATGCGCTCTCTCTCTCTTGCTCTCTCTCTGCAGGAAGATAGAGTTTTTTCATTTGGTTGAAACCTCTCACAAACAGGTAACAGCCCTTTTAAATACAATTAACCTGTATTCGTGATACATCACATATGCTCTATACTGCTATGGCCCTGAACCCCTTCACTGACATTGTTATTTTTTTAAACATCTATTTGTTTATTTACTGTTTTATTCTGATGTATTTTTATTTTATGTGTATTTATGTGTGTGTACAAATATATATATTCTTTTTTGCTTATTGTATTGTTTAAGTTTTTCATCTATTTTTCTACTATTGTTTAAAGACCAAATAAAGTGTTAATCATAAAAAAGAGATTTTGTTTTTCACCATCCCTCTCTGACCAGTTATAGATTGTAATAATATAGTATCAGGGCAAAGTTTGGCTTAAACAAACTGACGTTCATCCGACAGCCATACATTCTATTAACTGATCACATCTCTCTAACTCATCCAGAGGGAACAGACCAAACAAATCGCTTCACCTCATGCAGAGGAACGTACTCACATGTGGAAACCTCCGGCTGCAGCAACAAGTGCCTACTGTTGTCCCTATAACTGCTCCACTGGAGCAGTTGAGAGGGGTCAAAGATTTCTTTGATAACTACTTCTGAGGGAGGAGAGGAGGGGGTGGCAGGTACACATCCAGATCTTCAGGTGTATCCCAAACAGAATCACAAGTCTGATTTCAGAGCTGTGCCTGTTCACGCTATTTCTGTGCAAAGAAGCCCGAGCTCCCCAGAGACTCATCAACCCCTGACCTGAACACAGGTCAATGACCAGGGAAAGGGAAACTGAAAGACGAGACACCACAGGGAGTGTGTGTGTTCATGTGTGTGTTCATGTTCGTCCATGTGTGTGTGTGAGAGAGAGACCATCAAGGGAAGACAAATTGGAGAAGAGGACTATTTTGTCAATAAAATTTGAGATGGAAGTCTTACTTCATGAGTGTGTGTTCCATATCACTCACAACAGGATAACAAAGCACTGCTTGTCCTCTAGCCGCCTCCCTCAGGCAAACACACACACGCACACATACACACACACTCTAAAAGGGATGTTTGTTTATGATTCACTAAAAACATGTCACCTTTGCTCTGACAGAGTATTTACTCTTAAGAATACAAGTCTTTCTGATGAGGCGCAAGTTGTTAAAAATCATCAAACCATGTCCATATTATGAAATCTGAGCCGAAACAATTTCACCACATTGATATAAATGATTGTTGACTTGCTTCACAAAATGTACCTGCTGGCTCATGTTTTCAGTTTCAGAGATTAAATCACTTCGTTACATGGGAAATCTTGTTTAGTTTGATAGATAAATAGAGGTGCCCCTACTCTCTCTCTTTTTTTAAAGGTATCATTTCAGCAACTGCGATGAAATCCTAGCTGTGATCCAAGTCCACTATCGGAGCAGATCAGAGGGTCACTGCGTTCCAGGAAAGAGAGGGACACCATGCTGGGTCATTTCTGGGTCGCCAGTATTGTTGCTTAAGACAGTGGTTACTCTTTCCTGGCTGCAACATGAAAACTTTAGTCAGGCTGCACTGGCCAAAGAGATATCTGGAATATTGTTTTCTGTTACTGAATATTAGGTCTGTGTTATGAATTACAGATTTTCCCATGAAGTACTACAGTTAAAAATGTTCCAAAAAACAGACATGGTGAAGTGTCGCATAAATCTCCATCTTCTTAGGAAATCTCCATCTATCACCATAAATCTTTAAAAGTAAGTTTTGTCACACTCACTCAAACATTTTCCAGATTATTGATATTTTAATCTCATTTCAAAAGAAATTTAATTGTGTGAACATCTCAAAATCAGTGTCATTTTTAAGAAATATGAAAGAATGAGAGAGGTTTTGAAGCCTTAAAAATTCTGCCAGCTTGATTCCCTGGTATTATAGAAATAAGAATTTTAAAAACTCAATGAAAGCCAAACTCTCCTCTCAGACATGAACTCTGGATAATGTCTCGACAATAGGGTTTAGACATTTTCTGGAGTTTGCCTTCCGCATACGAACAATGGAACCAGAGATTCTCCGGTCAGATGCGTTTACAAAAACAGGAAAATCTCTGCAGCGTTCTGATGAGGGGTGTCGTGTAGGAGGCAGGACATAATGTGTCAATTCTGCTGCAGAGATCACATATCTTTGTTTAGAGCACATCAACACCAACGTTGGCCAGACCTTTCCAAGTTGAAATCTACGCCAGTGTCTTTAACTTGTATTGCACGTCCATTGCATGTTAGAAATGTCAACACACACCCAATCAATCACTTGCAGTGAATCTCCAGAAGTAATCCTGCTGTATTCTCACTTAGGCTCATTCAGACTTAATCAGGAATTCTTGGAAAAAATCCGGGGAAGTTCAGTGTATAAGTCTTAAAGCAGCTAAATAGAACTGACAAGGAGAGCATCCCGATGATGCTGTTTGAGTGGAATGTGAAAAGACAGGTGGCGAGAGATGAACAGTTTGCACATCTATGACTGTCCTGTTCAGAAAATACCATTTAGTTAATGGTATCATCTGTCCAGGTCCAAAAGCCAATAGCATCAGACAGTAGCACCATTTAAACCTTGAAAATCCCTCTTTTTTACGACTTGGATGACATTTTAAATGTATTTAACACATTGTCAGGTTCGTATAATTGATCTACATCGGTTGTAGACGTTATGAAATGCCTGCAGACAGCGTGGTGAAAGCCTGCTGTGCGTCAGAGTTGGATAACACCTCTGGGCTGTCGTAACCAAGGCCAGCCAGTCTAAGGCAGCGATACAATGTGCTTTAGGCATCCATATGTAGAACACCCCGCAATAAGTAGAATAAAGTCTGACGATGGTGAGGAGAGCCAGAGCATCCTTAAGGCTTCGCTCTGCTGTTCAGTGTGTGAGTCAGACGTGACAGCTGGATCCTACGCCTCAGACTGAAGATTTTCCATTCCCTCGCTATATAGTTTTTTGCTTCTAAATGGGTTCTGGAGGCGTAACTCTGTATAATGACAATACCATGCATGTGACAGTCGGCATGTGATATGACTAATTGGTATAAGGAGGATTTAAACCCAGGAGCTAGAGCAGGAACCGGTTTTTGATTTGGCACCTTCATGTTTACATTTCCATGGCATAACCACAACAATTAAAACAATGGTTTTATTGATGACGCTGATGTGGTGTTTGAACAGGTGACCTAAAGAGATGCAAGAGAGAAGAAAGCCATCTCCGCAATGTCCTCCTTTCTACATACATGCTAAGAAAACCAACAAGTTATAAGAGGTCATTTTAAAATAGGTTTTAGAGAGAGTTTTATTCGACACCTTATAATAATATATATTATATAACTCGTATAACTGTGCTATTCAAATTATATGATCTAAGATGTTGTACGCACCACATGGAAGACCTCAGCGTCCTGACCAGTGGTGAGGACCATCTGGGGCTGGAGGCCAGACTGGAGGAAGAAGCCGTGAGCTGACACCGTGCAGCCTCCGCTACAGTGAGGGGGATGAAAAAGGGTATTAGTATTACCATGAGACAGGAGTCTTGTTAGATTCCCACTGGGAGTGATCTGCTGTTAGCGTTAGCAGTTTAGCCTCTCCTCACCTCCCACTTGTTCTCTCCTACTTTAACAGTGGAGCATTAATCTGTCTTGACCATCCGCTGATATTCTAACTCTAATGCACCCACACTTTCTCGCTCATACACTGTGCTTCCTTTTAGGTGTGGAAAGATAAGTTGAGCTGACAAGGAGTGACTGCCAAACCATTCCTGTAGCTCCCCCCCTGAATTTGGACTGAGGAGCAGAGAAGAGTTCTAACCTGACGAAGGAGCGAGACGGCTGGATGCTGTTGATGATGGGGTCTTGGTTGTAGGTGAACATCACAGGGGCGTGGACCTCCACTGAGTCCACTGTCAGCTTCACGGGTTGATCGGATGGAACAGCATGCGGGGACGTTTTGCAGGTCAGCATGGTAGACGACAAGCTGGTGGTGGGAGGTTAGAGTGAGGGTCGGAGGTCAAGGAGAGTGAGTCAACACAGAGGACATATTGTGTTAGAGTGTACAGTGGGGTCCATTGTCCAAGCCCCCATTCATGCATTTCTCTCACATTAGTCCTAATAAGTCAAGCTTGAGCAGGAAAAGGGACGGAAGAAGGAAAGGAGAGAAAAATTAGAGGAGATGACTGAGTGAAAGAAAAATATTTGACCTTTACCAATTTTTCAGGCTCGCATGCAAAAACATTATCTATAAAATCACAGTAATGTCAGAGGAAATTTGTCACTGTGTAATGAAAAAAAACAAAAAACAACTAAAACAGCACAAGCTCGCCAAATTCTACAGAAAGCCAAAAAAAAAGAAAAACCGATGTCAAGAAAATCAGTCATGTGCGCAAACATCATTTGAAGAGCATTTCCGAAAATTACAAATTGAGGAAAAACAAAAGGGACAAAAATGAAAGAGAAGAGACATTTCCAGGAGAAGCAAGAAAAATAGAGATTCTTATCTTGTCCATTGCCAATAGAGGAGTTTGTCTTTCTGTTTTTATCCCCTATGATTCAAGTTCAACGACACAAACAAAGCTCTTTCACCTCGCCTTCTAACCAATGTTGCACTTTGCTACACTGGAAGAACAATTATTGCTGTTCCCAAGATGTACAAAACAATAAGTACACAAATAGTCCTTGCTATTAACATGCCAACGCCTGAAGTTCAATCCATGTAATAATATGGCACCAGAAAAGGTGCAGCATCAGAATGTACACAGCCAAAATAAAGAAGAAGAAATTAGCACGTTGCCCTGGGTGCTACGTTTGCATCACTGCTGCTGAGCCTGAGCCAATAAAAACCTGTGTGTACTGCAGAGTCTGGCCCAGGAGTGAATACAGATTGAATGCATTCATATTGCAGACATAAACCAGATTTTGGCAGGGCTAAAGATGAAGAGAGATAAATGAAGACTGATGCGAACTGACCTCTGGATTTTACACGCGCTTTTCCCAACAGTCACCGCTTGTTTGTTTCCAGTGTCGAGGAAAGCTCCTCTGATGGTCAGCATGGTGTTTCCGGACTTCGGCCCAAACGTTGGGAAGATTTCATGGATCACCGGGTCCTGGATGCACAGACCACCGCACACTTTGACTATCTCAGTCTGATGTTAAGAATCTAGTGTTTCCCTTACATCGTTTAGTTTGTTCGAAGGAAAATTCTCTGTTAAAATTATACAAAAATTTGAAATAGAACTTATTAGCTGACTTTTAAAAACAGCGCTTAAACATAAACTTATCAAGAAATCATGCTTGGATGTGGCAAAAGATTTATCTTTCATGTTAAAATATATGTCCTATATTGTTTGTCAGACATGTCAAGATATAACATTTATGAAATTCCCCTTGTGTCAAAAAAATAATAGTGCAGTGCCCGTTTTAAACCTTTCTGTTCTCTTGTCCTGTGTTAATGCTCCAAAGCTACCTCAGAATTATTCCTGGTCATTAGTGAGTCCTCCTAAAAAAAGTTCTGCAATATATCGTCACTTTTTCATTGTTTGTTTGCTGGACGTTGTGTGTAGAGTTTTTTTATGAACAGACGATGGTGCAGAGTGAAGTTAGAAAACTTTACGTTCATCCTACCTGGTTAACCTGCCATTAGGATATACAGTCAGTGTTTTTCATAAGATAAAACTGAATATGCAAAGCTTTGTGGTGATTTTGACAGTTTGACCCAGTAACCGACTACTGCTGTAATGGACATGCTAAGTGTGAAGATGTTTGTGGAATTAGTAGCTCAATCAATATTTTTTCACAGAGTGCAACCAAAACGAAGGGAAAACCCATTTCTTACCACAAAGGTGAAGCCTTCCATCTTGGCTACCTTGTTGCCGGTGCTGACCTTCACTGTGTGTCCTGACGGGGTGAAGTTCCCACTGAACACTGGGTAACACTGCATCTCAGTCCACCTAAACGAGAAGCACACCCCCTCAAAATGACATACAAACCAGGCATTATACCCTGCAACAACCACCCAGCATTTACCCTAATTCAATGATCATCCACTGCCCGGCAGAAATGCACGAGGCGATCTTCATGTGGGATTGTGTTTTTTTTCTCCCTAATTTATGACAAGGTTGTTTGTAGCAAAAGGGCCTTTTTGAATGGGACATGGCCTCAGTGGTTTTTGGGAAAGTGGAAAGTCTGGATGCAGCGATTTTTTCCCAGCAATTTTTCAGTTAGAAGAGTCATGTGTTGAATGTGGCACGCTGCTGGAGAAGTAATGGGAGGGAGGGGGTTCTTAACATTCTTCCTTCAACACAATAACCCCCATTAAACCTGCTGTGCCCCAATTGGATGCCAGCGTGCTGGTCCCTTCATCACGTAAACATCCACCACTTAATGCACACTTTGTCTCTCTCACTGACTCTCAAAGGTGGCTTTTCAGATACTGTGCAGGAACAGTGTTGTATTGTAAATGCATATGCAACACAAACACAATCACACACACACTCACACACACACACACACACACACACACACACACACACACACACACACACACACACACACACCTGTTGACGTTGTCTTGTCTGGGCAGTCTGCAGGGAGCTCCTGACACCTCCACAGTCACCAGTGAGGCCTTGAAGCTCTCCGTCTTGTCGAAGCCGAAGTTTTGCCCGCAAATAGTGACTGCTGTAGATCCTCGTATCGGCCCAGAGGATGGAAAAACCTAATGTAGACATGAGGAGCATTATTAAGTCTATTCATAAAATAATAAAATAGTGAAGCTCAGTATCCGGCCTTGTTGGACATTGGACTTATGTACAGGCTATACAACTCCAACTGCCAAAAATGGTTGCAGCAAACACAATGATGCTGCTCTGGTGTCGATCCAGGTGTATTTGTTTTCACTGACAGGGTTAACATTTCAAGTCAGGTTTTTGCCACAGCCGTCCTTCATCCTCCGTCTGCTATTGCAAGGATCTCTGAACTTGTATGATCTGAACCTTCAGTCCCGTTTGCCTGCTTAAAGCCATAAATCAACCATATTGTGCAGTTAAGATACACAGCATGTTCTTCAAATCCCAGTTGAAGTTGAAGACTTGTTTCTCATTTAAACTCCATATGTAATCCACCTATATTTATTTACATAATGAAATTATGTTCTACCAAATTCCAAAATCAACAACACTGATAACAGACAAAAAAGTGGAGCTCCTTCCTTTTCTTCCTACCTTCAAGCCTGACCCCTCAATGAAAGACTGCAGGAAAATAAAAAATCACATTATCCACACTCTCCCACACGTCCTAATGTTGTGTAAATTTGTGAATTAGATTTAAGTTGGTGAGTAACAGCTCTTTTTAAAGGTCCCAAAGGATAGGGGTAGTTTGGTTTGGTTTTTATGGGTTATTCTCACAATAAACCTGTTTTGTTGCATTGAAAGGAGCAGCAGCAGCTTTAAGTTATCTTGAGCGGAGACAGTGGACCAGCATGAGGTGCTGCATTAAACGTCAGAAGGAATGAGCACCCCCCACGCTGAGCTCAGGGTAGTCTCACAGTGTCAGCGTGGTGCTAAAAAGGACAGTGAGCCTGCCGTTTCATGAGGAGCTTCACAAATGTACGCAGAGCAAACAGGTTCAACAGGAAGATTCTGCTTTTGGAGGGAGAGGAGTTAGATCACATGAGAGGTGTCCAAGCAAACTGAGTGAGCAGGAAGTAGCAAAGGTTACACAGCTTGTTTTTAGGTCCAGGTTATTTACACAGTGTTGAAGCACCAGCGCCCTGAACAATGAAGAATAGATAAGTTGTTAAGTGTTGCCATCATGTTTTGTTTTCTGTTCGCATGTCAGTGCAATGTGCTGAATTAAATAAACTGTGACCCTATATGGCCCTCATCGTCACCATGGTGATGAGTCCTTGTGGTTACCTTGGTGATGACCGGTGTACAGTAGTGTTGTGTCCAGATGGAGGAGGGACACTGGTCGGCTCTGCTGCAGCGTCCGTTACACCAGCCACATTCAGTTACCCTGGACGACAGCAAGCAGGAAGTACAGGTGGTCAGCTGACCACAGCCGGGCCCAATCAGAGGGACCTTGGTGATCTAAGAGGAGGAAAAAAAGTTCTTTATAATACAGTAATTTGTGTTCACAGTGTTTATGAGGTTTGACAAATATTTTACAAGCAGTGAAAGGATGGAAAAAAACCAGCTACTCAAACTGTGCATCCATGAAGGACATTGTTCACTTTTTATTCTAAAAGATTCAAATTACCATAACATTTTATCCTTTTTATCTCAAAAAAAGACAAACATATAAAAGTTTCAGTGTATATCATGAATGCATCCCAATGTTTGAGAATGTCTGATGTAGAGTTTTCTTAGAAAGAAAGAGAAGATATTGGTGAGTGAGGCCCAATATTCTATATTAAGTGTTTCGCTCTTGTTTTGTTGACGGGTATTTAGTGCTGACCACAGGGCAAACTGTACACTGAAGGTTTACATTAGTAATCTGTCTTAAAACAGAACCATGGGTGTATTTGTGTTCTTAATATCCGTGGGTACAATCCTACCTTGTTTCCTGTGGCGATTAGCATGGCTCCCTCTGAGTGGTTGACATCCAGCAGTGTCACACTGGAAGAGACAGGTCTGGAGTCCAGGCGGATGTTGACATGGGGGGAGGCAAATCGGGAGAACAGCACCTGAGGGAGGGAGGACGCAGCATTGTAATAATCTTCGAATCGTTAATGCAACAATAGAGTCATTTCATAACTCAAGAAGAAGATAAGAGGAGTATCAGTTCAACAGATATAGCAACATTCTCATTAGAACAACTTTATCAGAGTATGGTTTAAGACATAAGCTTTAAAACAGACAACTCAAACAACTCAACCCTTGATTTCTAATGTACATTTTTGGCAAAAGTTGAAGGAGTCGCTATAAAAACATCTCCAAAGACAACACACAGAAGTAGAAATCCTATTAACCTATGTCAGTACTTTCAAACATGATCTGATCTGAATGAGATGCCAAAGAAAAAAAAATTGTGTTGTCAGTGGTTTGTTTCAACATATAGAACCAATACACTGGGTTAGAGCTGGACACAAAAACAATGAGAATTTCACAATGTAATGTCAATAACAAAATAAAAAACCTTTACTCAGGAGCCAAATGTCATTAAACTTAATAAATATAATAATGTGACATTACACATTACTGTAAAAAACACGATCAAAAGAACCCAAAACAAGTTTAGAGCACCACATTTCAAGATTCCAGCTGCACAACCAGGTGAGTTACAAACAGCTACATCTTATAGAATCTGCCTCCAGTTCTTTACTTCTGGTTTTAAAGGCATTCAGTGAGAATAATTTGCTGAGATTTAATACCTTCTGCAACATATTTCAAGTTGCAGGTGCAGAGTAAGGAAAAACGCCCTTTCAAATTTCTGTGTGGACATTTGAAACAGAGAGTAAAAAGAAGTTCTGAGAACGCGGAGGGTAATGCCCAGTAATACGGAAACGGACCCGGATCACCTTTTATATAAAGGTGTACCAATTACAGAGTCTACTGGTGGCCAGAGCAGACCATCAGTCCCAGGAGCAACAAGTCACTAACAAGTCAATATTGACTGATATGAACATCATAGTCTCTAAATTTCTAATATCATTTATGATAACATTTTTGTCCTTATAACCCTGTACTGGATACATAATCTATATTACTCCATAAACAAGCTAGTATGTCTTGTGCATACAACCAAACCTTGCATAAAACGTACGCACACATCTGCTGCTAAACGAACTATGTAATTAAAGTCAATTATAAGACACAAAGGCACAATGGGCCTCCCCACCCCAAATAATTTTCCGTTAAAAGTTCTAGCACACAGGTCAGATGAGGACACCTATGTTTTTTTTCTCATCATCACAGTTTTGTATTGTTGCTATGTTTATTTGGAACGTTTCACAATGTCGTTCACTGATACACACAGTGAATTAACTGAGATAGAAACACAAAGCAAACCAAGAGGACAGAGGAGGTGGAAGACGTCTACAGGCTCTTTGGCATCGCACCACCGAAACAAATGATGACTGGGAGTTAGTGAGGAAATATGATCCAGAGTCTTTGTTTGAGCCTGCATATACAATTTCAGTACACCAAGTCTGAATACATATTAGGTTGCATGCAATCATCAGAATTTGACAGCAATAAAATGAGTGTGGAACTACTTAAGATTTGAAGTTAGAAGTTGTCCTTGTGTTAAATGTTGAATCTGTCAACATCTAACACAAATAAGGGGATTGAGAGAGATGACAGACTGGTTTAGAAACACAGAACAAAAAGATGCAGCCATCAGCAGAACCACTGTGTACTTTGACACACACATGCACGCACATGCACACACACACGCACACACCTGGGACAGCGTTCATTATTTGTGGTTTGTGGATAGCTGCAATTACAGGCCTGGGAACAAACAGACAAGTACAGCATCTACTGTGTGTGTGTGTCTGCTTCAGTTACAGTATATGAATTGGCTTCAATTATACTGTTGCCCCTGTCACACACACACGCACTCACATGCAAACGGATACAGTATGGACACACACAGACAGTCCACTCACAATCTCTCTGCTGTGTCAGGGTGGAGCAAATTTGGAGGGACGTGTAGTAACTGTGTGTTTATGTACATACATCCCCCACAGCAGTACCGAGTTATTTATTATATTTTTTGTCTTCCCATTATTGTTAGCGTGTCAGAGCATCTAATAATTGACTAAAACACTCTGCATTATAAATTTTAATGTGACTTGGTGGCTTGGCCGGTTGACCGCTTGCCCTCGACCTTCACCCTCAGCAATGCCTTGTTTTCCAGTGTCATGCCTCCGACTGTTTGAGCCTCATGATCAACGTCAGCTTTGTAACGGCGAGCATAATGGGTGGCTTTCCTCTGGGACGAGGCCATACAACAGGCATCTCTCTGGAGGTAATACCAGTGTAAATTACAGCTTATTGTATTAAGCGGGCGGGGGGAAGTTTGGCCCATAAACACGGCCACTGTGTGATTCCCACAGTGGGCCAACTGAAGCCGAGGGAAACACTTCCTGAGCCAGAATTGAGTCCATCGAGGGGAACAGCGCTCTTTTTCTTTCACTGCCTCTAGTCCATGTTCTCTCTTGCTCCGTCCGCTGGGAGCGACCAGGAAACTGGAATACATAAAAAGTTGACAAGCTCTTTTTATGCCACTAACAATGAAGGGACCTGCCACAGCAAAGACTGCCATCTCTCACAGATTCTTGTTGCTGCTTGGCTTTGGACAGAAAGAGCAGGTGGCCGGAGGAGTAAAATCAGGGCAGGGAAAGTGAACAAGACATTGCAGACACAGGCGGGTGTGGGCTCTGCAATCTTGGAACAAGGCAACGTAAATAGAAGAAATAGAAGAACAGGGCAAGTAAACAAGTTTAGCCAAATTGTCAAAACCACTTTATTTGAAAAGTGCAAGAGCACTTGACTTCGTCTGTAGAATCGCTAAATTTAAAGGAAAAGTTAGTTAAAGTTAGAAAGCCAGGATGTTGGTCTGTGATGGATTTTTACAACAGATAACTGGAAAATAATCACCATCCTGAATTACTGTTTTCTACTGTTACTGTGTTTTTTATCAAATGCAAATCAATGAAGCATTTTCTTATATCAATTCGATCAATTTTTCCTGGTTTCAAGATTCAAGCACGCTTTCCATTTTTTAAAATCAACATAAAAAATGAAAAATAGCACACACGTTGTATGAAAATAAGACTTTTAGGACATAATTACTTGATGACACGCAGGGTTTTGCAGCCTAGGACAGCTGGTCTCCTCTTTAGACCTTCTTAAACCCTTCAGCTAAAAACAATGAACTTCAGCCAATTCAGCCAACTCACAAAAAAACAAAAAAGAGCTGAAAGAGGGCAGGGGTGGGGGGTGGTGGGGAGGGAGGTTTATAGTAGAGAAACGCACAGCAACAGCTGCACTGGACGCTCAGCGAGTAGAAAATGCCGTGCGAGGGAGCGTGTCAGCGAAGCCCGCCGTTCACCATTAACGTGCCGTTCAGCTTGTAAGCCCCCTCGTACCACCAGCACCACCGTCTTGCACCCAACCCCCCCTTTTCCATGCAGCTGTCGGCCCCTCTTTCCACGTCTCTTGCGGTTTGTTTTCCACGCACGTCTTTTTCATTCTTGTGTTTCAAAAACACGTGAGGTAATTTAGCTTTTACTTTTGTGTTTCATTCCATTCTCCATAGTTTCTTCTTCACCACTCAAGTATATTGCATCAATGCAGGGTCACGATGCAACTGCACTTTAATGCATGCAGTTGTAACGGCAGAGTGGATGGACAAAACACCACATGATAAAGGAGGGAAAGTCACTATAGTTATAGAAAGTAGAGCAAACAACAGCTTGGCTGGTTATGTGATGGTTGATACTGCATACTGTGCATCCATTTTAAATACATAATCAACACCTCTAAAGCGATCAGTTGCTTTCCATTCTGCATTAGTCCAGAGTTGTAACTAAACCTCGACAGAGACCAGATGATCATTGTCTTGTGTTACAAATAACTAGAGCAGTGTCTGTTCTCCACATGTCTGCTTGGAATGGGCTGTTTTCTTGGTCTGTGGTGATGCTGGCTGTAGCTTTTTGTTCTAAAACAGCAAAAGTCACTTGCAGTAACTGAGCCACAGTGAGGGAAGACCCCACAAAGAACCATGAAGCTGCACCACTGCTGCACAAAGAGCTGCTCACCTGTTCATTCAGAGTTTATTTAAGCTCCACTTGTACGCACAACCACAAACTGGAGAATCAGTTGTCGTTGTTGTGATCGCATTCAACACTACACTGTTTTGGGCCCTTAACAATATTCATGCTGAGTTTAAACCCGAAAAGATGAACAGGGTTTGAGATATGGGTTCAACAAACACACATACAGACAAAGATTTTTGGTATTCATTTAGTACACAGACATGTCCCTAAAAATATATTGTCTACACTGGTCCACACAAAGGCTGCTGCTGGAAAAGGGCATGTTTTATTCTGTGCACTTTTGAACACATATTGACAATGCAACATGGTTCATTTCCTCCAAACTCCTATTTATTAAAGATTGGAGTTCATCAAATGCAATAAAAGTTGTAATTGCCACAGTTTTATAGAGTGATTCTTTAAGCTACAAACTTTTTTTTCAAAAATGACTTATATATTTACTGTATATATGCAATATACACATATTCCAACCATATTTAGCCTCATTGTCTAGACAACATTGAACTGCAAACAATCAAATCCATGCTTATTTGGAAGCAAAACAATGCTACGAGGAAGAGTGACCCCTCATAAAGCTGATGCTTTTAAAACCTCTCCGACACTAAAAACCTTAAGTCAAGCTTCAGACAGTGATCATTTATGTGAACAGTGCAATAACATATGACCTGTAATCAAGGAAGCATATGATGATGTAAAAAGTGGAGGAGGAGGAGGAGAGGTTTACATTTCTTCCATCTTTCTACACTTCTGTGTAGAGACAAATCCCTGTGCAATCATTACGGCTGAGGTGCTTCACATATTATGTGAATGTGATCATCTGAATTTAAATGCATGTGGATCCTTCAGTTAATGCCTTCTCTGAGGAAATTAGGTTTTAAATGTCTGCATGATTCTTGAGGCTTCATGTCAGCCATGTATTCTCTCTAACTGTCCTTTCACCAAGATGCACAAACATGAGCAAAACTGAAAACTAGGAGCCTCTATTCACTGTCCCATATTAATTCAAAATATTCCACAACTAAAACCCTGAAAACAGAGAAGCAGTGGTGACGGGTTGAGTAGGAGATTCTGAAAACTGCAAACAAATGACCTGGACAGTGGAATCCACTGTGGGTCAGTACAGCGATAGGCAAAACGGACAGTGTTTGCTCAGATGGCTGACAGGAACGTGGGCTGTTAGGCGGCTCACTGAGCATAGGTCAAAGGAAAGCAAATTGTGCAAACAGAAAGCAGTCCTGGTGTTTGGTCATAGTTTCCCCCTAAGTTGCTCCTAGCAGAGGCACCTGCAGCTGACTCTTTTGTTGTGTCTCCTGCAGGCGCTTTCACTCGTCACGTACCAACATCCTGCCACATTTACATGAACAATAATGGAGGGGAACTGCACTGGTCCCTGCAGCCTCAGGGGTCTCTGTTTATGCTTAACTGCAAGTATTTTAAAGGCAAATTGAGTTCCTTCTAGTCTTTTAATGGCGTTAACTGTAAAGGACGGTATAAAATGGCTTGTTCACCTGTATGTGGCGTCCATCGTCGGTGCCCAGGTACGCCACTGCACGACCATGCACTGGCACCACGGTTATAGAGGTAACCAAGGTGTTGGTGAGCTCTTTGTGCCAGTACTCCAACCTTTGGACAAACTGGGTCACCTGCAGGCGGTACTTGCCCTCCTTCCCTTCGTGGATTCCCTCGTGTGGGTCGCAGTCGTCGGAGGAACTCTGCAAAGACACCACAAGCACCACAGAGAGAGAATTAGAAGTAAGAAAACACAAAATGAGAAAAACACGTGAGCATGATTGTAACAGCAGCGTGGTCATTTTCAACACCCTATGAAATGTACTTCAAATGGACAAACTTGAATGAGGCAAACAATCTAGAGCAACTAGTGATTACCACAGAAATTGGATTATACACGGTACTTTCTGGGACTCATCAGTATGATTGGGTCATTTTGTCAACACAGATTGCTCCCATAAAAAGTCGTCATTACATAATATCATGTCGTACTTCTTTCATATCTTGCCCGACGGGGGGAGGGTTCAGAGCCAAACCTCCTAAGCCCCCTCTGAGCTTCTCTTTCATCAGGCCATGCTCGTAATGGAGGTCTCAGCGTGATAGTACCTCTAGGGCAAGTACATGCTTTGTTGAGTTGGTCTGTGGATGGCTGGGTTTCATGGGAAACAGCGATGAGATCTTCATGCTGTTTTTCATTCCATTAACTCATTTTTCTCTCTCTGGCTGGGCCGCTCCACTTTCTCCTCCTTTTACCCACACCCTCCTCTTTTTTACTCCCATCGCCTCTCTCTGAGTTTGAAACCAAACGCTGCCACACCAGCTCCCTCCCTCTTTGGTTTTCAAATGTCGCTGGGTTGTGCAGATTGTTGTGTCTGGAGCCTCTGGAGCATACAGTGAAAGCACAGACTGTAGCCAGGGCTTCTCTCTATCAATATCACCGCTCTCTCTCTCCTCTTACTGCCCGGCCCTGCCCTCTCACCGCTCTGGCTCTTTTTGTGTTTAGTCATGGTCCCCTGTCCCAGCCTCAGGTTTCATTAATTATTAATGACCCAGGGGGTGGTGGGGCCTCTTGTGGCTCTTAAGGTCCTTGACCTGGTCGCTTGACCAGACCTGAGCTTTCTGTTGTTTTCTCAGCTTCAGTGGATGATGACCTCTTCAGCGGAGTCACAAGGAGCAGAGTGATTGCAGGTAGAAAGATTATGATGCCTTTATTCAAAGTGCCCCACTGAGGAGTTTGGTCGACAATGGTTTTTGACATTAGCCTTAACCCTCTGTTGTGACTTACAGAGTAAAAAGTAATCTTAATGCATCAAACTAAATTGGTTTTAATCACTTACAGACTAATAATCCTCTCACTGCGCTCTAAAAGAACTGGCTGGGTCATGAGGCCATTATAAGCGGCCTGTGAGAAACATGCCACATCGTTTGTTTAGCGTTGATCTCAAAGGAAAGCTTTGAAGATGAAGAGAATGCTGGTGGGGAAATAAATCAGGGAAGTCTCTCTCTTGGTGACGTCACATAGTTAAGACGAACAGGCCTGCACGAAGGGGAAAGCAGAGGAAGGCAGAATAACCTGGCAAAGTGTCAAACACGCAGCAACAATCCTTAATTAAATAAAATATCCTCAAGAACGGTGGCTGCAGTGATGTGTTGGAAATTGATAGCTGGCAGGAAGGTTAGATATTTTTAAGCCAGACGCATGAAAGGGTGGTGCAGCCAGCTAATCTGCATTTAATTACTGTGAGTGTTAAAGACAGGGAAAAAAGTTCAGAGCATATAAGGAATGACAGTTTGTGACTGAACGTGATTTAGAGTTGGATGAAGATAAGGACACGTAGGATGAGATGAGGGTTTAATGGAAGAAGAAGCATCTCTTCCTCAAACACGATGGTTGCCTCTGACGTCTATGTTTATGTTTGACCACAAGTTAAGTTTATCATAAGCTTGTTCCTAGTTTAGCAAAATCAGGACAGGATGTCTAGCACTGAGCAGATGTGAAAAACATGTGAATCTGCCAAAACTCTCCTCACTTCTTAAAACTGGAGCAGATAGAAGCATCATCACTGCAGGGATTATGCCACGCGGCTCAGAAAACAGTCCTTGGCCTGATTATTTTCAGAGCAAACAAACGGTACTTTGGGGTGTTTGTTGAATCGGAGCAGGATGATGGGAAGGAGAACTGGGAGGGCATTCCTCTGCTGCCTTTGCTGAGGTACTTGTGAGGATCAAGGCAATGAAATTGGACAGTGGAAGGACAGTTTTGACGGGCTTTGTTTGAAGCTCTGTTCCTGTTTTCCTTGGCTGCTTCTTGGCATGGAGACAGAGAGTTTTAGAAGACGTCACACAGACATACGAGATTTTTATAGTAAGATTTCATGCGAAGTAGAAAAGAAATACAACATTTGTCTGCCGAGGATGAAACTGAACTTATTTTCTTTGAATGTTAACGTTTTTAAAAAAAATATGAGCTACAAAACTTTCAGAGGGTCAAAATCCTGTAGGGTGGGGGGGGGTAGTGTTGATCTGAGTTGTAGGTGGAAGCAAACAAGTCATTTAAACCAATTTTTGTCTCTTCAAAACCACAGGAGATCCAGTTGAGCCAATTACATGTCATCAAAGAGCTAATGGCTGTTATCCTGACAGATGTCACAACATATACGTGTGCAGTTTTTATTTTACAATTCTATGATTTGAGGTTTAGGTTGAACCTGAAACGTGTTTTTGAAACATTAAGCTTTTGGAAGATTTATGATGTTGGCAAGTGCGCCTGATGTTCGACATCTTTCAAGTCATTTTGAGAGCGTGTCTTTTAGCCGTAGAACAGGCACCGTGGGGCAGATATGCGAGATATCATACACCTTTGGCCCCATACTTAACTAGCAGCTATTGTCCCCAAAAACAACGGCATGGCGATTGGGTTTCTGTGCCGCGGAGCTCCTAAACCCTGCAGCACTGCTCAGGAGTCTCAAGAAGGGGATGAAAGATGATCTGCGTGGCTTAATGTCGTTTTCATACTCTTGCTGTGGCCCCTGGGTCTTGTGTGAATAGACAACCTAATGCCTAATGCCTGACTTATAAACTGTGGACTGGGTTACTTGCAGAAGAGGATTTGGATACAAACAGTGCTGTGCGAAAAATAGAGTAAAGGCGCTCTTGCACACAATACACATTCTGCTGCAGAGGCTAAGCCTGGGTTGGCAGACTCGCACACATGCACAAATGCGTTGTTCTTGTTGCTGGCCGCTCAGCTGGCACTCTCACTGGAATTACACACCTTTGACCTTGGGATAGCTTGTGCAATTGTGAGCACCAGACAGCGGAGAGGTTCGGTTGTCGCCGGGGTGTGTGCAAATGCATCTCTTAGAGAAAGTGACATGCGAAGGAATGTGGAGCGCAGAACACGTATAACACATACGTGTGCACATGACTGCATGTGTGGATGTGCTGAGGGGGGAGTGCATTGTTGCCATAATGTTACAACTCACATTACAGTACTCCACCTGGGCTCAGGGCGCATGTTACTCTGCAACCTGACTCTCAGTAGTTAATAGCCATGATGTGTGTGTGTGTGTTTATCTAAGCAACACAGGTGGCTGGCTGCACCAAGCCACATGCAGTCATGTGTTAATGTTTGCATGTGCTTTATTGTGTGTGTGTGCGTGTGTGTGTGTGTGTGTGTGTGTGTGTGGCTGCATGGGACTGTCAGGGTGTTAGGGACAGTTAAGGGGAGGGAAACAAGTGGACAAAGACCCCGGCCCCTCACTGTGCAGCTGGCCTCGCCCTCGAGTGGCCCGCCAGACGCCAGCTTTGTTTATAATGGGGCCCTGAGGTGGACACGGCCACGGGTGGAAAATGGCTTCACACATAAACAGGTCCAACTGAAGACTGGGAGATTTTAGTCAAATTAGACATCCTGCTGGCAAAAAAGTAGATAACATATGACTGTAGCGATACAAGAAATTAATGTTTAGTATGCACATGGTAAAAACTTTCCACTGAGACTAAAACCAATTGCGTCATCAAGGAAGCTGTGTTTTTTTTATTTCGAACGACATTTAGTCAATTGCCCATTTCCTGTGATTCTTTGCAACTTATTTGTATTTACAAATAATGGACACTCAAAAAATGGATCACTTGCCTCATGTATAAATGTCATGTATAAATGTTTTCCATACAGACAATGTTCTGGAAATAACAGTCATGCAGAACAAAGTTGAGGTTTTGAAAATCACTGGTTTCCCAAGGATCCTCCTTCATACATCTATCATCAAACTCTGACACAACTGTCAGCAACTGAGGCTACAAGGCAACTACTGAATGAATGCCAAGTTAAACATACAGCATGTACAGTTGCACACAGACTTTTAAAAGCTCTGCACAACTACAGTAATTATGCAACTTTTCAGAACTTTGCATAAACCTGTACCCGCTTTTAGAAATGAACTCTGGAGAATGTCTGCATAATTCTGTCTGGACTTTCTCCAGGGTTTATCTCTCGCACATGACCAATGCAGCAGGAGGTTCTCCGCTCAGAAGCTTCCACAAAACGGGGTGGCTCATCACATCGACAACGGTGTCGGGTCGGATCATCAGATATTTGTTTTCTTTTTGTATTTTTCATTTCTGTGTCTGTCGCATGTTAGAAACGTCATCAACACAACCACTCGCTCACAGTGAATCCTCCAGAGGATCACGGTTGTCTGCTACATTGATTTTGTTTCCCTCACTTTCTAGACATTGCTGAAGTGCACCAAACAGCTGGAGTCCTCTCTTAACTTATATTTTAGTTGCCCATCCTTCACCATCGTTGACCTTTTCACACTGTGCAGAAGGATTCCCTGTGGCGGAATGTGCCCACAACATGTAATTGGCATGTCAGACGTCATGCTTTTTTCATGAAAAATTCAAATTCTGCATTGAGGAAGTCTTTCCCAGGTAAGAAGTGGGGAGAGAACGCCGCTCCACTGCTTCATTTTATTTGTCACTCACAATGATGCAGTACCCATAATCCTCAACCGTCCAAAATAACTCAAAGATAATGGATCTTTTTTTTTTTTCCTCAAATACCTTTAACGTGATCACTTCTTCTGCCAAATCTCTTTCTGGCTCCTCCTCTCACGCAGCACCAGTAGGAGGATGTTCTCTTGTTCAGGCCAGATACTGAAAATAAAACCTTATTGTTCCATGAACATGTTAAATAAAG